AGCAAGAAAAAAGGCTAACTTACAAGCGTTGGAGCCATTTCTGCTATGGTGTGTAACATCATGCATAACTTTTGGTCAGAATTTACTTGAAATTATTTCTTTGGAAATCTCCCACGCCTCCATCTACATTGCAATGGCTTAACACTGTCCGGACATTTTTGAAGCTGGATAAGATCTCACTCACAGTGAAGGGTAGTTCTGCAAAATTTATCCACAAGTGGACACCCTTTCTGGAATATCTCAAATCTTTTCCTTAGTGCGAAGCAACTTACCCATCCTGCGACTATATTGAAAAGAATCTCACACTTACTCCTTTCTTTTTTTTAGGTAGACATTGGATTTAAGCACCCCCTTCCCTTGTATTTATCTTTTTTTTTTTTGTTTATTTCTCTTTTCTTTCTCTTCTGTCTGATAAGTTAAAGTTAAAAAAGATTGGGAAAGAAATGTCTGAGAAAATATGTCATTTAAGTTGTATACAATGCAATGTATGTAAGTTTATATGTGTTCTTGATAAACAAAAAAAAAAGAATTGACTTGAAATGTGTTAATCACAGGTGTTCACGACAGCATTGGGATGGCGAGAGGTCAGCAGCCAAATGGCACACCAACAAGCCTCTCCAAAGGCTGCAGGCCCGTGGCTTCAGCCAGCAGCACTGGGTCAGAAGATGATGTGTCATTGTGGACTAACTTGATCCCCCTCCCCTGGAAGTCAAACACAAGTGTGGGTGTAGCCATGTCCTGGGAGGCCTCCTCTGCCATCACAGTGAAATGGAACTGGCCCAGAGAGCAAACAAGATCTCTCCCCATCTCTCCCTCAAGCCCAAACCAACCTTGTCCGAGTGATGGGATTTTCTGTTGTTCTGTTTGTTTGCTTGGTTCGTCTCGAGCCAACGATATCCAATATGGAGGAAGGAAGAGAAGGAAGGTGGATGCGGCGGGAGGAGGTTGGCCTCGAGGGGAGGTCTGTGTGTCGACGAAAGTTCTGCCGAGGACCTACCGGGCAAAGCTGCTCGATAAACAAATACACACAGGATCAGAATAAAGAAAGTTTGTTTTTCTGATCTTTGCTGACATCTTTTAACAGTAAATTTGTTTTGATGTCCCCAAACCCCCTACTGATGCTGTTAACCAACAGAGAGTGACACCTTCTGGAAGAAAGAAGAAGATTGGCCTTCTACAGTATGTGCCAATTTTTGAATCTTGAAAATGTAGCATCAGAACTTTATCAGCATGCTTCCGGCTAAAGTATTTAATGTTATCAAATGAAATGAATTTAAAAGTTTCGTCTGCACAACATTTCACCAACCATTCCAAAAAGTGTCCCATTTTTAGCAAACATTTGCAAACTGACGTAGATCTATTGTAGGATTCATTGTACTCTTTGAAAAGTAAAAAATGTTATGAAACTGTGTGGAAAATATCAGAGTAATCTACTTTCACACAACTGTCCTAGGAGAAAGGAGCTGCGTGTTTTTCCACTTTAGTCTTCGTCCGAAGCATGTTTCTTACCTGGCTCTATGAACAACCTCAGTTTAGAAATATGGAGATTAGTTTTGAGCAGAAAGGTGACCTAATACTAGTCTTACTGCCAACTCTGTTCAAAGAAGTTTGTGCAAACCTTATTTATAAACTTTTATGTCCTTATAGATTTACTGATAGAATTCTGGTTGTTTACTACAGAAATTAGCTTCTGAGCTAACTAATTTAGCACTTATGGTTCATTTCTATAGGAATAACCGCAAAATGTAAACTAAAGGGAAATTTAGGAGTCATAAAATAATGTTTAAAATAACTGCTGAGAAATGTTAGAGGCGGGAATTGATCTGAGAATTCAGGGCTAGATGTTAGTTTTGTTTAGGGCAGCAGTAGCTCAACAGGTAGAGCGTGTTGTCTAGTAATCGGAAGGTTGCAGGTTTGATCCCAGCAATTCTGCTGTTGTGTCCTTGGGCAAGACATTTAACCCACCTTGCCTGCTGGTGGTGGTCGGAGGGACTGGTGGCACCTGTGCTCGGCAGCCTCGCCTCTGTCAGTGCGCCCCAGGGCAGCTGTGGCTACATCGTAGCTCATCACCATCAGTGTGTGGATGGATGAATGATACACTGTAGGGTACTCCCCCATAGATCACAACATAGGTTATAAATTGTAAGTCGCTTTGCATAAAAGTGCCTGCTAAATAAATAAACATAAACATAGTGTAAAGTGCTTTGGAGTCCTTACTCTGAGAAGCGCTAAACAAGTGCGGGTCATTTATCATTTATTTATCATTTTGTGTCCTTATGGCTAATCTGTTTATCCAAACTGAGGCCATTCAAAAATAAATCAACAGCATTTTCTCTGCAAGAATTAGGTTTGAATGCTGCATTTTCAGCACACGGTGGTTTAAAGGGACAGTTAGCAACATTTTCATTTAAAAAATCATTTTCTTGAGCCAGTATGTGTTAAAATGACCCTTTACAGGGTTAATGAAATGCCACTCACCCACTATCGCCCCTATGACCAGGGGGCAACAGTGGGTGGGTATCTCATTTGCAGCTTCACAGTTGCTGGTCCGGTCTGTGTGACAGGATCTATTCCCATCTGTACCGGGTCGGCCCGGGTAGCGTAGGTTGTTTACATATCTGGGTGGCCTGGTATTTTTCCGGGCCAACCAAGGCTCATTCTCAGCCCTCTTCTCGAGGGGGTCTGCTTCAGGCCGACCAGGGCCAACACACCCACTGCTGACAGCAAATTCACACCTTCCATTAGAGCAAGCCTCTGATTGGTGGGTAGAATCAGCCCACATGGGCTTAAGGCAAGGATGTGTGGAATCAACCGGGCCAGGCTGGGGCCGACTGGGGCTACCCGGCCCGGGCCGACCCGGTACAGATGGGAATGGCCCATTAGAAAAAATTGAGCTTACAAACCTGTAGCTGCAGTCTGTTTCCAGCACGTTTCCTGCACATTTTAGATCATGAAAACAGCTGATTTGCTCAATTTAGTGATTAATCACTTCTGTACTAAGGAAGGCTGGGAGACATTTCAGCTGTTAGATCATTCAATCAATCAATACTTTATTAATCCCATAAAGGATTGATTGATTGATCTAACAGCTGAAATGTCTCCCAGCCTTCCTTAGTATCTGCATCAAAGCCTAGTTTATACTCCTCCATCTGCAATGGCGCAGAGACACGCGCCAATATCCATCCTTGGGAGGGCTCTCCAGCAGGCTTGCAAGAACGGACGAGGCGAGCCTACTTTTCTAAACATTTGTCAGAACTTAAGCTTGTGAATGGTCCGAACGCTGCTTTCGTCAACGGCACCACCATTGCGCTCTCAAAAATATTAAGGGAGCTGAACATATCCAGCGACAAACACAGAGAAGTTTGAAGAATACCTCGTTGAAAAACTCTAAAAAGTATGAATGTTTTATTCACCTATGACTGGAGGAGTAAAACAAATTTGCAGCGAGCGTTGTTTTGGTGGGTGGAAATGACGGAAAATGTGGGTTTAGAGGTGGTGAGCGCATGAAGAGATGGAGACGACTGAGAGACAAATTTGTCCGTGTTAAAAAGTACAAAAAAACGATATTAACGCATCAGTAAACGCATCAGGGGCGGCGTTAGGCCCGGCTACTTGGGCTCAAGCCCCAAATGTTTTATGAAAAGCCCCGGATCTAAAACGTGGAAGCAACCCGCAGTACCAAAGTCCAACAGAGAGGGAGCAGCTGGCAGTAGTTTGTATACAGCCTGCCTGAGCCTCCACCACTGAAGAAGCCCTTCAGCAGCCGGCGTCTTCTACGGTCTCTGCCTGAAACGCAAATGTAAAGATGGACATGAGGGTGTTTTTTTAGACCAAAAGTACCGTGACAGATCCCCAGCTTTGATGAGACTGGTGTTGACTCAGGTTTGTGAGTCTTATTTGAAAATATTTGTTGTGCAGCTGGTTTGCCTAAAGTTAGCTTATCAGGTAAAGTTGTTGGAGAAAGAAAGGGAATATTTACTATCATCTCACACTAAACACTAACAGGAACAATACTCTGCCCTGAATATGCTTCATATGTAGCTTCAGATTAAAATTATGTGGTACAAGACAAATATATATGATGTCGATTAGTGCATGTCAAGTGTGTGGGTGTGTGCGCGCGCGTGTGTTTAGTCCCTGATCTTCTTCAGTCCTAAATCCGCCCTTGAAACTCACCATCTTGGACCTGATACCTCTGAACAGCGCTACGCCCACTGGTGTCCAGGTGGGGTACTGCTTTGCAACGTTCTCTGGGAGATGGAGAAGTCTGAGAGAAAAACACCTTTATCAGTACGTGCGTCTCTCCCTTGTAGAGCTGAAGCACAAACTAGGCTGAAGGTGCTAAAAAGACGAACGCACAGCAACAAGATAGGTTACAAACGGACACTAGGGGGTGCTAAAAGCAAGCCTAAACTGCCTAGTCTCCCTTTAAGGAGTCTAAATTAATGTAGTATTATTTGCAAAAAATCTCACTTAAATAGATCTGTTTTTTTAATGAGTGCAGAAATATCCCTTTCATTGTTGTGCAATCCAAAAGGCTCAAAGTGCTCAATCAGTCAGACTGATGGGTGCAAAGTTGATTTTCACAAAACAAAAAAGAAAACTTCCACTAAAAAGAGGCAAAACGGACACTTTGAATGTAGTTTTATATTAATAAAAGCTGTGTAGTCTCTGCAGTATTTTATAATAAACATAATTCAAAAAACTGAAAAATGAGTTTTTACTCAATAAACAGGAGCGGAGTCATTATTTGTGGCTTAAATCAAATGAATACTCAGTTTAACCTTTATCACAACTGATTTCAAAGTCGTCCGCAAACCCCCTCGCCCCCATCCTCCTCCTTTACTTTGTAATTAACTCAGTGTGGTGAGACAATCATATCCAGCTGCTGGAAACATCACAGGATCTCCATCAGGATGCACAAAACCCAAATCAGAGGTGTTTCTGTGCCCCAGTCTTCAGTTTCTGATTGAAATCTCTGAAGAAATAACCAGTAAAGGCTTTGTTGAAGGTTTTATTCCATTGGTAAGTACTGAAATATACAAAACATCTGCCAATCCAGTGGCAACAAAGATGGAAAAATGACTAAAGGAAACTGAGACACACTCCCAAACACACAAACAGAGCTACAGTCTTCTAAAGGCAAAACAAAGCTCGTCTCACTGCTGAAGGAAAAGCCGTTTAAATGGTCCGGACAGGTTTACCTGCAGAGCATCGGTAAGTGCTTCAAAAATTCAACAATACTCAAAAGAAAAAGACAGAAAAAGACAGACAAGCGATGCTGTAACGCCAGAGTCCACAGCTTGTTTCCATCTCATGATTATCAACCAGCTTTGTGTTGTTCAGGAATTTGGTTTTCACAGGAAATTCACAATCTTTAGTAAAGAAAACAGCTTTTGGTAAGTAGATTAGGAGTCCTTCGTGTGGGGGGTGGGGGGGGAGAAGGGTTTCTGCTGGGAACAGCTGAGCAGACAGATGGGCCATTCCCATCTGTACCGGGTCAGCCCGGGCCGGGTATCGTAGGTTGTTTACATATCTGGGTGGCCTGGTGTTTTTCCGGGCCAACCAAGGCTCATTCTCAGCCCTCTTCTCGAGGGGGTCTGCTTCAGGCCGACCAGGGCCAACACACCCACTGCTGACAGCAAATTCACACCTTCCATTAGAGCAAGCCTCTGATTGGTGGGTAGAATCAGCCCACATGGGCTTAAGGCAAGGATGTGTGGAATCAACCAGGCCAGGCTGGGGCCGACTGGGGCTACCCGGCCCGGGCCGACCCGGTACAGATGGGAATGGCCCATTACACACTACTAGCTGCCACTTTCAAACCAAACCTAAAACACAGAAAATACCTGCAGCTAATCCGGCGTGAGCCAGAAACCTGCTGCTGATCATCCCCCGTCTGCGTTACAGCGGAAAAGTAAAAACTCTCTGTAGCAACGAATAGTGTTTCTATTCGGTTGCTATGCCTAATAGTCATATAGTGCAAAAACCTACTAGAAATACTAAATACATTAAAGAACATACAGGTGACAGTTCCAGTTCACGCCCAAGGACAGTTTCACAAAGACTTCAGGAGTGAGAGTGAACTCCGACTGCACATCCCTTGTGAAAAGTGCCCTTTACTCCTGCTGCCGGGCCTTTTTTTAGCTGATTTCCTGCAGAACTTTATCTACATTTGCATAATTCAGCTTGTGATTGTCCCAAAAATCATCGAGAAAGTCCTTGGAATGTTTGTGGACTTTTACAGTGATGAAGAGAGAACCCTCTTCTCTCAACAGTCTCAATGCATTTCTGTCACACGCATCTCTCCTGCTCACCGCGGCGGAGCGCCGTGCTACAAAATCTGACGGGTTTTTCCCACATCTGAATCGTCGGGGGAGTCATTCTCCACTCGATCAGCTTTAATCTGTTTCTACAACAAACAAACAGTCTGGAGGGGAAATCTGCCACTCCCAAAAGCGTCTCACAAAAAGTCCCTGCGACAATCCCGCCCCCATCCTTAAATCTAGACCTGATCCAGTGTGGCTTTAGCCACTAGGGGTCCTCCTCCATGTCATCCAGGTTGGAAGCCATGATGAAATGTTTAGGGTAAACGAGACAGTGTTCATCAGCGTACTCCTCCCACCGCGCATCGTCGCTCTCGTGGGTGATGTAGCGCTCGCCGCTTCGCGTCTCGAACTCCCTCAGGTCCAACCAGGTCTGATAATCCTAAAAAGAACCAAATGTGAACGTTAAAACTCCTCGTTGATTCAAAATATTACCTTTATAGGAATAATTGGTTGACTCTGAGGAATTTAATACCTTTAATTCATTTAAAAAAGCTTTTAAAATGAAAAATACATAAAATAATAATAGTAGTAATAAATAATACTAACAATATAAATAAACTAATAAAAATGATAAATCATACAAATTATAAATAAATAACTTTAGGAATAAAATTTCTGCCTTTGAAATCTATTCTGTTCTACTTTCAGAGCTTGATTTTCTCTTTTATGTTATTTTTTTTCCAGAATTCCCCATTTTATTACAAAGTTTTATTCATTTATTAAATTAGTTAAAACATGTAAAAGATAAATAAATAAATAAATAAACAACATTTTCTAATTCTCCTATAATAACTTAGAACCTCTTTGCTTTCCTGGTTTAAATTTGCACAGAAACCTGTACGAGCATTTCCTCTTTACACTGACTGCTGCTGCTGTTCAGGAAACTCGGGGGGGGGGGGGGGGGGGGGAGCAAATGTGTCACCTGCAACCAGGGATGGCTGAGACACTTGTCCACGCTGTACCGCTTCCTCATTTTCACTTGGAGAAGATTGTTGATCAGATCTGTGGCTGTGAAGGAAACAAACGTTAAATCCAAAAGATCATGCAGCACATGTGGAGGTAAGAAGTACAGCGAGATCCAGACGTCCTAGAGCTGGATCGCAAAACACGAGGATGTGTTTGTTGTGGGTGGAGGAGGAGCGGCAGCTTGGACGTCTGAGCAGAACCGAAAGTGACTCATTCCCACCGCAGACAGAGAAAAGCCAGACAAGTAGGTGGGGAGGGGCAGTTCTCAAGCTACACGTCTAAATTTCACTTTGACAGCAAACTACAGGTGCAACCATGGTAACGTAAACGAGGGACATAGCAGACGCTACTACCTTCTGCTGAGATGTCCTTCCAGGGCGCCGGCGGGTACATGAAGGCCGCATTCTGGATCTGATCGTTAATGTCCTCGTCCTCGTTGAAGGGGAAGGTCCCGCTCAAGCTGACGTACACGATGACGCCCACCGACCACATGTCTAAGGAGCGGTTGTAGCCTTTGCTGCGCAGCACCTCGGGAGCCAGGTAAGCCGGGGTGCCCACCACCGACCGCCGGAACGATTTCTCACCGATGATACGAGCAAACCCAAAGTCACACAGCTTTACCTGCAGAAAAAAACTCGTATCGTCAGCAGACGTACTCGCAAAGAGAAGAAAAACACACTTTTAGATGTTTTTTACCTGTGGAAAAGGCTCTGCGGAGGCCAGTAGGACATTCTCCGGCTTCAAGTCACAGTGAACGATGTTTTTGAAGTGCAAATGCCTCAAGGCAACCAGGATCTGTCGCAAACACACGTCCAATAATTACAGATCTCACTCCACATGTTTACATATTCTAATGTTCTAAGCAGACAGCTGATTGTAGAAGCTGTGCAGTCGAATATATTAGATGAACTTCCACTGAAGACATATGATCTCATGTATATTCCCCACATTCTGGCTCATGGCTCTGTATGAAAGCCACAACACGCCAGGCTCCCCAATCCTGACCCTGGATTTAACAGAAGTCCTCCTGGCCACATCAGAGCCGGGTCCGCCGCGGCTAACGGAGCTGCTGTTGATGGCCCCGCTCCCGTTTGGGACCCAGAATCCACGGAAACCCGAGGGCCCCAGCGGCTTTTCTAATCAGGCCACGAAGCCGCCAGCAAACTCCAGGCTGTAATCCACGGCCAGGGAGGAGACCGTGATGCCGTTCCCGTAAACATTTACCCCCCCCCCCCTCCCCCCATCAGCTCACCACAACTATGATAAACAGGCTATAAATCTGAAGCGGAGCCCCATCATACACACCCAGAAAAGGAGACAGGATTTAATCTGTGTGAAGAGCGCTTTTCCGCCACACACACCTGAGTGACCAGGAACTTGGTGATTCGTTCTGGTAGTTTGCTCTTCTCGCTGGACAGGATCATCTCCAGCATGTCGCCGTGCAGCTTCTCCATGACAACAAACACCCGCTCCGGCGTCTCAAACATGCACTCCAGGTTAACGATACCTGGATGATGCAGATTCTAACAACAAAAGTAGATAAATAAGCAGAGAGAGGAAACAGAAAACTCTGCTGAGTGTTTTAAATCTTTACCTGCAATATGGCCACCTCGTTCCTGAGCTGGCTCTCCTGCTTGGTGGGAAATCTCATCTTGTCTATCACCTTGATGGCGACATCCCTCCCACTTTTTCTGTGCTTCCCTAAAATTGAGTAAACTGGTATAAAAATGACCTCAAACCCCACATTATGACATTTAACACTACTCCAGGTTGAAATATAGTGGATATTATATGAAATTAATAAAAAAAAGAGGAACGTACCTCCATACACAATGCCAAACTGGCCGGATCCCAACACCTCATCGGAGAATATCTGATACACCGAGGCGATATCCTACACGGAGAGCATTTGTTATTTCATGAACTTCCCATGCATCATCAACAATGACTTCATCTTTGGTTTGCCAAAACAGATTCTTCTCCTAAAGTTTTCTGGGGTATTGCCAAACATTTGACTTTCACTCGGTGCAGAAGTGGAACCGAATCTAAATGCCCCGTGAACCCCCCGTTAGAAAAGAAATCTGCAGTTTCCTCATTTGTGCAGGGCAACAAGTTCCACTGAATGTTTTTATTAAGCTACAATTTCTGGTTTCACCACAACAGCCTCTCTAATAGCGGGCTAATGCATGCATCTGCAGGCAGCTGCTGGGAAATTGTGCAACAGTTTCTGAAAAAAAAAAAAAATACAAGAAAGAAACAAACTCCATTTACCACATTCTCCTGGATCTGGCAGTTGGACACGGATATGCTGATGGACAGCTCTTCTGATGGAGGAAAAAAGTGGAAAAACAACATTTCACTCATGCATTAAGTGACTTTTACAGACTTCAGTGTGATTTTCCCTCCAAGAATGATCCCAGCTGCATGCAGTCATAATGAAGCATTTATTAGACTATAAATAAATTAGCAAAAAAAAGCGACGTAGATTGTTGCAGATCTGCAAACTAATGCAGCACAGAAGCGTTTCGTTTCAGCGGAGAAACAAATGCATGAAAGTTACCCAACCCCAGACTTTAAAACAACGCCGATACAAGTTAATCTGCATGATAAATTAACCTAAACCAAAATAATTGGTGTTTTGATCGGTTTTGCTGTTCCAGAGCATCATGTGAATCCCCAACCTACATATAAGCCAGATAAAGTCTCTGCTGAGACTAACGAGAGTCTGGTTTCTCTTCGGTCATGTCACCTCAAGTGACTTCACGCTCTTATTTCCTAGTTTGCAGGGTTTCCCCCTTACTCTAAAAGCCACACTAGGTGAAAGAATAAAACTTCCAACACGCAAAAAGTCAACACATTCACTCAAACAGTCTGGCAGGTGAAAAATCCTCATTAAAAGTGTTTTTTTTTAACTCACTGTGATCTTTGCCCTGACCAGCAGCGCTGGCCACGCTGGGCTGAGGGGTGACGGGCATCAGGGCCTGTCTTATGGCCTTCTCCCAGCCTTGGGCCACCTCCATGCCCACCCCAGAAGCAGCCAGAGCAGGACTGTGGTAGTGGCTGCCATTGTTCTCGCCCACATAGTAGACCATGGTGGCTGTGATGATCTCAAAGCAGTGAGGGTTGCTGCCTTGAGCCAGATTACTGTAATCCCTGAACGGTTCTACCTGGAGGATCTCGGACAGAGGGATTTCCTGTAAAAAGGAACAATCGATGAAAAACATCAGAGAAATGAGGAGAAGAGAGCTCTGTAGGTGACAACACTCCAACAAAACTCGAGTAAAAGCACCCGTTTATTTTGTTTTAGCTGTTTTAAGGGCAATACATCAAAGTAAAAATGTTTTCCAAGAGGAAAAATGAAAAGATTTAAAAGTAAAAAATAACATTTTTCTACTAATATTTCATTATTTTTAATGTATCTTCTCACAAATGTATAAAATCATCCCTTAAGTTTCTATTATTAAACATTTAAAGCAATTTTTGGACTAAACTGCTGCAACAAGTCAGAAATATGAAGCAATAAAAACACAATACAAATAAACTCACATGCAACAAAATACCACAGAAATCTAAATATGACAAGAGATCAAATATCTGCACAAATCAAACAGGAATATATATTTTTTAAATGACAAAACACCTGATAAAAAAATTCTATAATTCACAGGTTTAATGAATGGTTTTAAGTCAAATTAAATTTATATTGTAAAATCAAGATTAAATATCAAATATCTCCTCTTTATAGCAGCTAAACAGTTTGTACACATGCAGTCACACTCACACACTCCTAAAGTTGGTCCAAGCTGTGAATTTCTCCCGTCCTCATGAGCACAAACTGAAAGCAGCACTACTAAAAGTTCCCCTTCCACTTGAAACTCATCAAATCAAAAGAAGGAGGGAGGGTCAAACTAAAATAAAATAAAAAAACAGCCAATGGGGGCTGAGAGGAGCGCACGCTGTCCCCTCCACGCGGCTCACCACAGAGTATCGGGTGAAGTGCTTGTGGTTAGCGGGACCGGGTCACGTGATCGGGTTCTGCGGCAGCTGAAGTGCTCTGGTTCCCTGATTACAAGGCAGGAGCAGCCAGGGGCCCCGTCTGAGCACGAGCCACTGGTGCTACCGCGAGCCGCCGGGACGAAGACAAGGAAACTTACCGCCCCCCCCCTCCCACCGCACAACCACCGCCACCCCACAGGAAAGAGTGTGAGAGGGCGTGTGTGTGTGAGTGGGTCCAATACTTCAGAGTGACAGTGCAGAGACAGAGAGAAGCCCACCCCATGAAAAGGTTCTTCAGAGGAAGCCACAAGTACAGGGGTCTCATCTTCAAACGGAGAACCGTTATGACTTCCAAATGGTGAAAATGGCTGCCATGCCGGGCGGGCAAGCCACCGCGCGACCACCACTAATCAAATCAGAGGTATGGAGAA